TGTTTATTTAAAGTTAAGACAAGCCGTCTGTTTTGAACTTCTTGAATTAGTGCAATTCGCTGTCGTGAAGTATGTTTTGTGTGTGTTGTATTAAATTGAGAAATATGAAAATTAGAGGATGTTAGACATAGAATATTAGAAATTCTGCAATTCCATCTTTCTACGATTCCTAGAATCTGAAGCTCTAATATTCTCGAATTTTACACTTCTAAAATTCTAAAATTCTGCAAATGCGAAATTATAGAATTGTGAAAGGTGGAATTCTTAAAATGTAATATTGTGCAGTTTCACTTCACCTATGTCTTACCGGATGTTTTATGTGAAAACTCTAATACTTTGAAATATTAAAATTATAGTATTCTAGTAAACTTACATACACACACGTATATCATCACATGAATTTCTGAGTTCCTGAGTTCCTAACTTCAAATATATGCATACACACACGTATAGGAGCACATGAATTTCTGAGTTCCTGAGTTCCTGCTTCAGATAGAGATAGATATACATACTTCAAAATTTATTCTTCGTTTTAGACTCTCAACATTAGTACAATTGTCCATGACACCCTGTCTCAGTTTCTAAATTTTCCAAAAAAATATGCTTTCCTTGTAGAAATATTCGAAAAACACTAAAAATGCTGCTTAAAAACTCGACTTCTGATGTAAAAAATATTCTCACGCCGAAAGTTGACGTTGAAAACGCTTAAAACAAATTCACAACCTGAGATAGGATCCGAAGTATCGGCGATAAAAAATTCAGCTCGATCAGACAATTTTGGTCATAATGCGACTGGATCGAAACTACTCATAATTAAGTGTCATTTTAGTATTATAAATAACATTAGATAGAGTATCTTTTTTTGGGGCATTTGCTACTATAAAGAACTATCGGAAAGCTTTGGAAGACGTCTTATTGTATGTAAACAGAAAAACACATGGACTTGAAAAGAAGAGCTCGTCTCAACCATCCCTGTCCCGATCAAAGCACCATTTCATATGCTTTTTGTACGCATCCACGGATATTAAGATAGAGCCAAGTATCATCTACAAACTGGCATATTTTCAAACCTCCTTGACACTCTATTATGAAGACATACAGAACGGCCATTCTACGTAACTCTGCTACCGAAAGGGTGATTCTGTAGCGTTTTTTCGGTATCTTATAAAAATCTTATAACGTTTGAATGGAAAAGAATCCAGATTCTAGCAATGTCTCTCATTGGAAAGAGGAAAAGATGCTTTTGAAAATGGAAATCAAGCAAATTTTCCAAAGTGTGCTATTTAGGACAGGTGATTAAAAGACTAACTACTACTCAGCATGATTTAATCTAGTGAAAGCACATTGTGGTCCTTCTATCATACTGACCAAATGAAACATTTTGGAGCATTGCTTAATTCCCATTTTCAAGAACGTCTTTTTCTCTTTACAGTGAGACATAAGGTCTCACTGTAAAGAGGAACTCAAACGTTATAAGATTTTTAAGATAATGAAATAACGTTACAGAATCACCCTTTCAGTAGCAGCGTTACGTGGAGTGGAATAGAACTTGATATTCATTATCAGAAACATAAGAATCATCAAATTTCATATTTAACTTTATCTCAGCACAAACGACAATCCTATAGAGTAAACTGAGATGTATATCAGCTTAGAGCGACTCGTTCCCAAGAGTTAAAAGTAGTTTTTCATCGGTAAATATTTTCAGCAGCAATAATGTTTACTATCTAAATAAAGATGCATTATTTTTAACAGGACCTTAAATACTTTTGTATATTATTTTATATACTTTTGTATTACTTTTGTATTTACTTTAGTTTTGTATATATTTTTAATTATTTTTATATGTTCGTCAGGATTCCAAACAGAGAAAAACGAATATTATTTCCGCCAGTAGACATTTTTTTAACCCCCCTCTTGCCTTTTATATACAGCTACGATGTTGATTTTTAGAAAAAAGGCTTCTTAAAGGGCTTTTTGCGTATGAGTAGTACGAATTTTATCCCGATATGTTGGAATTTTGTCGGGGTCTTGGATGTGCAGATCGAGATCACTTTTTTTCTTTGAGGCATTTTGAAAATCGTGAGACTTCTGGTTGAATGCCTGAGATGTTATAATCCAGAATAATCCAGACTTTTGACGACACGTATTTCCTGACAATTTCAGCTGTACTTCTTAAAAATAAAAGGAACTGACACTGGCAGCACCGATGCGCACATGTACTTAACAAGTGCCGAACTGGAATTTTTTTTTTATAAGAAAGCGACAAAATTCATTTGCAAGATTTTGATATTCAGTTTTGTAGATTATACAACTCTATGTTAAATGACATTTTTAATTTTGATTGAAAATTAATATTTGTAGTATAGTATTACTGGACAACCGTCGGTCTCTTAGAACAATCAAAAAGTAAAACTTAAATTGCTGTGTGATAATGGATTCTTAATCGGCGATTCATGCGCCATATTAGCGCAACCTTTTCCACGTTTTAGGTTACATAATCTCAATATCCTGATTTTTCAGATAAAATTTCTTTTTCTTACTCAGAAACTATTTCTTAGTTTTAAAAAAATGTGATATTCGCAATCAGCGTATCGAACTGCATGAAATGAAGTATAATACAATAGCTTTACTGAACATTTTTCCACCAAATTTGCAAGGGTACCGCTCTAGAATTTTAATGGAAAAAAATTTATTTCTTATAGTATCTTTTTTTATGGAAATAGACATTTTGGACAATAGAGAACCAAAAACTGACAAAAAAGGCATGCTTCTGACTCTATTTTTCTGCTCATTGTGCCCCACTGACTTTGACTCTTCGGTATGCGTCTGATTGAGAATATATTTCTGATTATTAGAATTTTACTTACTTCAACATATTTTAATGATTGTTCTGTTTCTTGTCCTGAATTCTGTATTTTTTTCAATAATATATCGAGATCATCATTTTTTCTCACCATACCTAAACGTAAATAAAACATTTCCTGTTTATTGACTCCTAGACTAAACGCTGAATCGTTTGTTTGCAATTTTCTAGCTAATTCGGCATTAATCGTATTGATATCCTGAATCGAATATAAATTTGATGTAATATTTTGTTGTTGATAAATATTATCACTATTTGTCAATTGTTCATACTGTTGCTTATTATCTACTTGATCTTGTTCATCTCCTACAGGAACGTACTGAACACCGCCAATTCCTGCCCAATTAAGTAATGAAATTGTCGTAAGATTTGGATAATTTGCTTTAATCGTCGTATGTAATCGTTGTCTAGCTGTTATTGTAGCTAATAATATTTCACAAAATTTTATAACATCTTCTAGAAACATTTTTATATAATTTTCTTCGATAACATCAAGTAAATGTTCCAGTGGAGCAAAGCGTAATGCATGTGTAAAACCCCGGTTAGTATTCATTTCATCATCAATTGATTTATGCGGTTCAAAACGTGTACTTTTCAATAATTCTAAGTTCATTTTTGGATATTGTTGATTTAGTTTATCATAAAGCCAGATATTTAAAAGATCCATATAACTATTAAAATCATTGTCATCCACATTGTCGACATGCTCAATCTAGTTTTAAAAAAAAATGATATTAATAATATCAGCACAACATTTGCTCAAAAATTCATTTTTTTTTTTTTTATTTACAAGATCGTCGTTTTCTATTATTGTTCTAAACTAAAGCCTGATACATAAGTAAGTTTGTTGGTGTACATACTTTTGTCAAGTATAGATCAAAACGAAATAATACAACAGCCATTGGCAAGGATGTTGTGGATAAATAACCATCACAAATATGTGCATATGTTAGACGATTATCGTTTATTTCACCATTCTTAGTATCAAATGAATTCTTATTCAATATTTTAATTGATTTAATTTGATACAAAGATTTCATTACTAAATCTGTTAAATGAAAAGAATGTTTCATATGATGTAAAATATGTTCATTTGTACAACGTCGAGATAAAGACCAAATACTTATGAAACTAATCGATGGTGAATGTAATATCATATCTTGAAATGAGAGAGTTGACGTGGAAAGTGCTTGTGAAGATGAATTATAATTGATTTCTCGGGTATCTTGTGCAAATTGTTGTTGCATTAAACTTTGTTCACTATTATTATTATTATTATTATTTATTGTTTGATTATCATTAATTGTTGCTAAAGTTATATCTGAACCTATATGTGATTCATTCAATTGTGATGTCGTTGATGAGCCTCGTTTTAGTAATGATGGGATGAATGGTGATTCTCGAACAAACAACGTTAAATAGGATAAATTTTGAATACCAAATAGTTTAATTAAATCTAATGTCAGACTATCACAGCATATGCGAAAATCATCTTTTGTTGATAGCAAGGCTAATGAACCTAGCAGATCACCTAAAAAACAAAAAATTTAAGATTATTTTAATTATGAACATTATCCCATGTAATTAAAATTATCGTCAATTTTTTCTTGAATAGCATTGCACAATTAATTATCAAAATTTAGACGCTATAAACTAACGAGAATCGATTATTACATACCCGTTGCATGTAACCATATTTGATGATGATTAGCTATTAATTTTAATTTAGCTAATTCATCGACATGTCCTAGAAATGGTGTACCAACATTTGCAATAATCATTAAAGGATATTCGTTTGTACTATCGATATCTTTTATTATTGTTTGTTCTAACTGTTCAATATTCAAGACATTCTCATGATATAAATCAGTTTGTATAGATGAAAAACAAATATTTGGTACAGTAAAAATGAGATCATCTTTCAATTGTGGATCAAAATCAGTTGACACGTATATGATGCCTTTTTTATTATTTGTATGATTTTCATTAAATAATTTTTTATTAAATTTTAATGCTAGACGAATGACACGTTGAAATGATTCTGAATAATATATTGTACATAAGAGTGCTTCACATTCAATATGAAATAAATCTTCACACCATTTTATTAAATCATTTTGATATTTGGGTATCACGCATAATTTTATACTATGTGGCAATGTATCGAAAAATACAGATAACTAAAATAAAAAGAAATAATAATCTTTCAAAAAAGATTAGAGTATGTAGTCATTATAAACTATATGAATAAACCTTTGTATTAGAGAAAAATTCAAAACTTTTTTTTACCAATGAAACATCGCCAACGGATTGTAAATATTTTGTCCATACAATTTGAAAACAATTCATTGCTTCTTCATCTTCGTTTATAAACGAGAGACAATGCGTTATAAAATCACTTTTAATTTGATTATTTAATTTAATAATAGATTTTGAAATATTTGTCGGTATTAATGGAATATCAAAATTATTTGTTGTTGAATAATTCTCTTTTGAACTATTGGATAAAGTACGTTTTCTAATTTCTTCTCTATGTTGAAAATCAACATAGTTTCGCTTTTGATTTATTGATACATGAGGTTTAGATTTAACCGGCAATGTTCCTAAACATTCTTTTTCCATGTCATCTAATAGACGATGTTCTACTTGAGTTCTTTTATCTATATCATCAATGTTAGTGTTTAATTGTTTTAAAAATGGATTATTTTCATCTAATGACATGATATTTGAAAGAATAATTATTTAATATTGTTAACAATAAATGAAAAATAAATCGTAGAATTTCTCTGTTATACTAGGACGAGAGTAAATATAGATCTAAAAGTGAAATAATCTAAATCAATTTTTGTATTTAAACTACATCTACAATTCTATTTCTTTTTAGTACAGTTATTTAGGTTACTGACGATTACTATCCTGAAATGAATTTTTTTCCGCCTTTTTCTGTTTTTAATTGTTGAAGAAAAGATTCTCAAATGTATAATTATAAAGTGTACTGATTTGGCTATGAATGAATCTTTTTAGTTTTTCTTCAAATATATATTATAGAACTAGTAATATAAATATCACAATGTGTTTTCAATGAGACATATCAAACAGTGAAAATAATAGTAAGAGGAAGAACGTAATAGTGAACAACTTTTATTACTAATGTATATTCGGGTATACACTTTTCTTAATAAGATCTATAAGATAATTTTCTTGTAGTAAAGTAATTTATATGTGAAACAAGTCCATTTTAATTTGTGACAATACTTTTTTTTGTTTTTTAATGGAAACACAATTTATTGAACTTACCAAAAAACTATTAAAATCTAATTTCATATAATTTTTTTCTCTTCATTTTTTTGGTGTTTTGCGTCAACAGTACACAATAGTATCCAATATGTCGCTTCATACAAGATCCTATTTTATTTTTGCTTTTTTTTCTTGCATTTCAGATCGTAATTAGTACGTGTCTGTAATTTATTCTAGCGTTGGCTACGCACTGCCTGTATATATGGAGAAACATTGCACAAAAGAACAAAAGTAGCTCAGTTGAGTGACAACCATCTGATTTTTTTTTCATCTAAAAATGTGACCGTTTTCAACGATTATTTTTTCTTTTTTTTTTTGGTGATACTAAGATACTTACAGAGTTTTTCTTTTCTACACATATTGATTTAACTTTAAACAAAAAGGTAAATGAAATGGTAGCAACATAATATATGAGAGTCTCTCTCTCACTTCTGTCATATTCGATTTCTTAAAACTCTCTTTTTTTTATTCACGGAAACTGTTACACTCATAAATACAAGAAAAAAAAGGAAGAGAACAGTAAATAATGCCAGTCAAACCACCAGCTGTAAATTCTGAGTTAATTAAAGAAAAAAAGGCTATATTAAGTGTTGAAAAAAGATTAATATGATAAATTTATAGACTAACAGTTATTCTGGTTGATTTTATGATTCTCGAACATAGAAATGAACGACGCTATCAAAACATTAACGTCAATTCCTCAATTGTCCGATTTTAATCATCAAAATTTCGAAGTATATCAGTTATACGATGAAACCATAAAAACGTGACTTTATATCACAATTATTTTTTTGGCAAGAGTCATTCATATACCTTCTCAATTAAGCAAAAGAACAGTAAATGCTGAATTCATAACTGATATATCGATAAATTGAAAATGTCACCATTAACCACTCATTTTTGTGTTACTGATTAAAGATCGAATGGATCACGAATATGTTACCCAAACCGATCTGAATTACTTACGAGTTTCTTAAATTTTGACTCATATGAGCCCATTAATATTTATAGTGTACTGAAGTAGAAATCCTCTATCAAGACATTACAGTTTCAGAGCCACAACATTTTTGGCGTCTTTTTGTGAGTCATAGAAAGTAATTTTGATGAATAATATTACCTTACGAGATTTCCCGTTCAATTTTCGCGATAAATGGAAAGTAATTTTAAGTAAACATTGATTTACACCATCTCCAGAATTGTCTTGAGTCAATTCTATAAAATAATACACTAATGCTAGCTTAATTCAATTCTAATAAGTTCATGAAATTAACAATATTGATGAGACGATCGTCAGAAGTTCTTGTCTAGATATACATCATGAAAAGAAAGAATTCAAAAAAAAAGTTACTCTAAGCACTGCTGTAAAAACAGTCAAGATCACTATGACAATAAATGCTTACCAAATTCACTATCGTTTGTTATGTCTATCATAGAAATATTTTTTTCGTATTTGTTTGTTTTTGATTGATATGAATTGCTCGGAAAGTGGTGGGTGCTCTGTAGTCATTTTTATACGAAAAGAGAAGAATCCCGACAATAAAAATTACATGTTCGCCTGCTCTGTAGAAAATACACATTGTCAGAGCACAACTACACCACCACACTCATCTGTTAGTAGTCAAAGTAACATAATAGTTACACCTAGACAGCATTCCCTTTTAGAGTGTAGTTGTTCAAATCATAAAAAATGAATTAATGAATCTCGTTATGTATTAAAACAAATTTTTAAGTGTTAATGTCGCTGCGCCCCCATGTCATTGTACCCTAGTGTCGGCGCCCTAAATTCGGCATACGATAACGTGCTGTTTTTCATCGAATGTCTGATGAGTTATAAAATCTTAAAAGAAAAAATCCATTCCAATATTATGTTTAGAGTTTGAATATTTATCAAGTTTTAACTGCTTTTAAATTGGTTTTTAAATTTTTTAACATCACCGTTGGAAGGATAGCCAAACGTTCGAGACATTGTTTTACATCAGAAAATATAAATCTTTTTCTCTTTTTTTGTTACCATGATTACATGTAATATGTTTGACTTATAAATCTAATCAAATTCTAATATTAAAATTTTTTCGAATACAATAAATTTCTGACAAAAATATTGTCTATAAACATGATATCATCTGATTTATGTTTTGTAATCAGCGCTTTTCCCTATCAAGTATAACTTCCGGTATATTCCCGATTCGTCGACAGGCCCTTAATTGTCTTTAATTGTCGACACTGTCTTTTTCTGAAACGGTCGACACACTTTTTAATCCCGATTTGTCGACAGTTTATTTTTCCTGAAAAGCCGACACATCTGAATTAAAGGCTACCGACAATTTCTTAATTGTCGACACTTTTTCTTATGTAATTAATCTTATGCATACACGTGAATAGAAAAATAGTAGTTTTGTACGAAATTCTTCACAGACATTACGTTTTTCATCTGGTTCGTGATTGTGTGATGCTGTAAGAATTGGAATAGTATTGTCTTCTTGTGTAGCATGATCAGAGCAATTGGTTCTCATAACGTCAATAGACATTATTATTACGCGTTCTATCTGTCAAAAAATTGTCGACAAACCACGAATAAAATTTTGTCGACAAAATAGCAATTTTAAAGTGTCGACAAAACGAAAAAAAGATTGCATCAACGAAACAGTAAAATCTCTTCATTCCGAGGCAGACATTTTTTTAGACCAAACGCACTGCTAAACGCGTTTTTTTGCACTAAAAACGTGTCTGAACGCGTTTTCTTACAACTGAAACGCGTTTGGACGCGTTAATCGGTGATAAATGCGT